AAGGAAGACAAATACCTAAAGTAAGAAGAAAAAGGGAGTATTGATATTTTTCTTTTGCAAGAATATGACTCTTGCAGAACAGACACACAAGACAATTTCAGCAGTTAACCTGAGGTTGTTAGAATGGCAAGCCCCTGGTCTCAACTGAAATGAAAGACCCAACTTCCACACCAGGATGGGTTTTACGGGGAGACCTTTAAGAAAGCCAGGACCCACCCTCAAAACCTAGAGGGGTTTTCAGAGCACTGGGTGCTTCCATGCAGTCTTAGCTCAGGTAGTTAAGCTCTCCCCATTCAAATGTCTGAAGATTTAGTGATTTCGCACACAAGGCATGCTGAGCCCATGCCTGGCACACATGAGTGACTGACTAGTACAAGCTCTTTTACTAGTTAGGACAGTGGAGACCGGCTTTGCTGTCTGGCTCCTCACTTGGCAAAGATGAGACTTCACAGAGCAGGCACCAGAAAAGCAAAGCAAGGAGAGGGGAGGGAAAGAAGTCCATTGAGGATTGAAACATGGTTTTCCCTCCTGCTGAGAGGGTCCCTGCTCTTGATAAACAAGAATGGCCCGTGCTGAACTTCCGGGCTTGAAAGTCTAGCTGGTTTGGCAAAGGCGTTCCTACCCCAGATCAATGGTTCCACTGAAAATGAGAAGGAGGAGCGCACTCCAAAGCCCACAGGACACTGGGTGAAAAGTGGGAATATGCCATCTCTCCACAGGACCAGGGAGCCCCATGTATGCTGCTGTCTGATCACTGCATGCTCTATTCCAAATTAGCCAGAAACCCGAGAACCTGAAAGCGGAGCTCCAGCTAACGTTATTTAAATGAACCGGCTGTTACATGAACCTTAAACCACATGTCATTTGGTTGTGGGGCTGCCCTGGGCCAAGAGACATTAACACAGAGGGTTCCTAACTCACAAACGGATTGTGTTCCAAACGTGCATTTAGGAGGCTGTGGTTTAAAATGCACAATGCGCTTTCCCAAAGAAGCAATGTTATAAATGGTGATTAGGGCCACGCGCCAGCTCACAAAAGTCTGTGTAACCAGAATCTAGTTACACACTGTATGTTTTAGCCAAAAAAGAGTAGCCCTCAGTAATGTCACAATACTTGAACCCCTAACTCACGTCACTCACAGAAATGTGGTTTGAAATTGATCTAAGACTTAAACATAAGGCCTGATACCATAAAAACTAGAAGAAAACATGACCTGCACTAAATCAGGCTGGAGCGTGCTGAATATGTGTGCATTCACCCATCTTACTGTGATGCTAAGGCTCAAATACGTATTTTATGTGTAAATATGAAGATGCCAGGAGTAAATTGAAAAGAAAGTTACTTGGAAAAGATCATTTGTAAAGCAATATACACAACAGGACTTCCCAGAGCGTTTGTTCTACACCATTTTTCTATAACATTGATAAGATAAAGATAAAACAATCCTACTTAGAACAAAAGCCTTTTAAGGACCTACCTTAGTTCATCTACTCTTTGCATGGAGAGCACTTTCCAAGAACCTAGACTTCCTTGAGCAGGACGGACCGCCCGTTGACTTCTGCAAGTTCTAACCATTAGGTGGCACCATGGCCTAAGGCAGTTCCGTTGTCCCAGATGGACAACAGAGAAGGGGAAAAGATAAATGAATGGCAGAGAATGGGTAGAAGAACTTAAGAGAACCTGTGTGCAATACGTTATTTAAAACATACAAGGTGGACCATGTGCTCTAGACTAACTTACACATTCATAAATGCAAGAATTTTCTTAAAATTATAGAAAAGCTCATGATTTCATCTATTCCAAGTAGTTTACATCATTTTCTATGTATATTTAAAAATTTTTTATTTCTATTTTTCTTAAAGATGAAGCTTTATTTATTTATGCACACAAGAACTGGGGTGTAAGCCAGAGGTGCAGGGAGGGCATGTGGCAAGAAGATTCACCAGAGATATAGTGGGGAGCAGAACAGGAGGATCTACTAAAATACACTGCTGAGGGGAGCAGCAGGCAAGACAAGAGAGGTCTGCTGTGCCATGTGAGTCAGCTCCCTGGCCAGGGATAACACTGCTATCAAACACCCCTGCACCAACAAAGAGGCCCCTTTATTTATTTATTTATTTTTAAATATTTTGAGAAGACACCATACAGCTTTCTATAGTGGTTCCACCAATTACATCGCCATCAACAGTGCATGAGGGCACACTTTCTGTACATCTTGCCAGCACTTGTATTTCTTGCCTTTTTTGAAGATAGTCATTCTATGTGACATGATATCTCACTGCGGTTTTAATTGGCATTTCCCTAAATTTAAGTGATGTCAAACATCCTATACCTGCCAGGCATCTGACTGTCTTCACAGGGAAAATGTCTGTTCAAGTCAAAAGCAGTCCACTCTCTTTCTGCCTATTTGCCCACACTCCTCATAGAGTTAATTTCCTATAAATGTACATGTTCACTGGGATCTTTCTATCCCCCTTCCATGGGCATATCTCTCTAGTCCCACACCAAATACTATACTTAACTAATGATTCTTTACTCCATTTTATTTTAAATATTTTTATGAAATTGGCTCATGTACTACTCCCTTACATCACTATGTCATCTCAGAGCCACAGACCAGGAGGTAGCAGGAGGAGGCACAGACCAGGCAAGTGTGCAAAAGAGGTGAGAGATACATATCAGGAATACATCTAGTCATCTAGTCCAGCATTTATGGCAGAAACAGCTGCTGACCATCTGATTGGGAAACAGTTGCAAATTAATTAATTTGATTTGGTGAACTGCTGCAGAAAACAGTGGTTAACGTATTAGGAAATGAGATATTGGTTCTGCTCATCTGGAATGTATTTACTGAAGGAACCCAGTCTAACAGATTTGAGCAGATCTAAACCCCATTAACAGTGGGGAGTATAGACTTTTAGACTTTGATTCTCTCTTGATTGTTGAGCTAATACCGGAGGAAGATAACTACCTTTGAGTTTACTTGTGTCTCTAGTAAATTATGTGACATCAACAATGGAAGACAGCCTCACACTCAGAATTATACAATAGGCCAGAATTTTCTAGGAAAAGAAAATTCTAGATCTGCTTTGGGAAGGGGTAGGGAGGCACCCAAAGGGATTTCAGAAGATCCCGAGTTATATGAAGACAGATTAGAAGCTAGGTAGGGAATTGATGTCCAGGTGATTTTTTTTTTCCCCTAAATTTGCTGGTCTTCCAAAATTCCCTTTCTCAGGGATCGCAGTGCCATCTGCCCGAATGCTGAAAAGTTCAAACCTGATGCCTGGGCACCAGGCACAAAGATGAGTTAAGTGCTACAAATGTTACTGAATCACCCCGGTTCATCCACAATTCTCAATCTCTCGTGTCATACACTCACATACATCACAAGGTCACTGCCATGTTTAGCTGGAACCACAGCTATAGCTTTATGATGGGTCTTGCGTCCAAGTTGAGCTACCTCCCCACTCTTGCCAAACAGCAAGTCTAAAATAAAACACGCTTACCACTCTGGTGCCATCTGCCCTTCTCTCATGCTGCAGTCCAGACCCATCATGCGTGTTACACAGGCCGTCTTGATCAGGCACATGGCGACCTTTGCTGTTCTTGTTCCCAGACTGTGAAGTCAACCTTCCCTGGGTTCAAATTCCTACAGCACCAACCCCAGTCCAGATCCTGAACCTCCTGGCATTTCTGGGCTCTCATAAATTAAACAGATAACAACATTAAACACCTTGCGGGCAAGGGTGTCTGCAGGATGGCGTGTGTTTACACAGAGAAGGTCCTTGGCGCAGAGCCTGGCACACACTGAGCTTTCCATCCCTGCCAGCAGTCACTTTTATCTCCCTTTTGCCAATGCACTGTGTTCCCCAGGCCTTTGTACACCACAGCCTCCATCTGGAGCCCTCCCCCCCACACCCTATTCTTGCTTCAGGGCACTCTGGGGGTGCAAGCAGCAGCACCAGGAAACTTGCTAACAAGGCAAATTCTCAGGTCCCACCCCAGACCAGAAATTACAGGGCACCCAGCCCCTCTGACCTCCAGGGAAGTCCACTGCTCTCAGACCACACCAAAGTACTCACCACTGTGAGGAGTATTGGCTGTTTGTTTCTACCCCTGAGCTGGGCGGCTGAGCTCCCCAATGGCAGGGTCATGCGTTAGGTCTTATTGGTCAGTCTCCAACCGGCCCATTGCAAGGGAAGGAAACCCATAAGTCATCACAAGCTGGAGTGGAGAAAGTTACCCAGACTACGTCCTTGCACGTTCAGGCTTTTTCCAGTGCTCTCAATACATCTCCAGGTATGCTCCAAAATGTCCCAGCTTGTTCCTAGCCATGAGGCCATGCTTGTGGTAAAGAGGCCCCCTGAGGATAGAGGGGAGGAAGGCAAGTTGTGGGTGATTCCTAGGGGAAGAGGGATGTCCTCAAGGGACACAGTCCCCAAGAACCTTGACCTTCTCCACAGTGGGGTCTCTCCCTTACCATCTGTGAAGTCAGGTAGACTTTACCTGACAACTACCTGCATCATTAAAACTGAAGAAAGAAAAGCAGTGAGTGTGCCCAGGGGCAGGGCAGGGCGAGGTACACGTTCAATGGCTTAGCGTCTGGAAAGTCACGGGTACACCTGATAGAACTCTCTGCAGGTAAGGAGAGACAGACCTAGCGAGATGTATATTCTGGTCATCATTGAGGGAGGGAGCTGAGGGGAGACCGATCTCTCTCTTCCTGGCTCCTCTCATCTCCATTTCTTACTCGCCCACCTCAGAGCCCTCCCTGGCCCAGCGGCATGGCACCAAAATCTCGGATTCCTGCCAGGACACAGCTCAGGACGTTGTAGAAAAGACGATCATCCCCGAGCGCCTTCATTGCCGAGAGGCCCAGGGGTCTCAGCAGCGTTGAGGATGTGAGGAACATGAGCTCCCGGGTCCGCAGGAAGCCATCGCGGGGCGCCAGGCTCCAGGGTGCGCGCCAGAGCCTCCCCGCGCGATCACCGCACCGCCCCGGGCGGGTGGGTCACTCGGCGGCCGCAGGCTCGGCTCCACTCGCGGCTCGTGAGTCCTAAGGACCCCCGCTCTGTGGACTCCCCAGACCTCGCCACCCGCGCTGCGAAGGTGGGCGCGGCGGAGCATGGCCGCGGGGCCCAGGGCGCGCCGGGCCGCGCCGGTCCTGGAGGCGCCCCCCCAGCACGAGCAGGTACGCGGGTGCAGGCCGTGGGAGACCCGAGGGGCGGGCCGGGCCAGTGGGCCTGGGCTGTGGCAGACTTCCAAAGCCCCGACCCCACCTGGTGCGACCCGGCGGGGATGAAGGGGAGGAAGACAGGAAGACCTTCTGGAAGATGCTGGTAGCTTTGCTCAGCCTACCTCAGCAGAGCCCAAAGCCTCTTTCTGCCTCTCTCCCTCTCTCTGCCTCTCTCCCTCTCTCCCTCTCTCTGCCCCACCCTCTTCCCCCCGCCCCCCATCTCTCTCTCCTCCCCTTTCTCTGCTCCCCAGTGCTTCCATCCCACTCTGTCTCCCCCTTCTCATTCGGTGTCTTTCAGAATCAACCTTTCCCGGCTGACTCCTACCCATTCTCGGCCCTCCATGCCGGCAGTGCCGGCTTCCTGGCAAAGCGCCACCTGGGGGTGGGGACCGTGGGCATTCCAGGAGCACAGCTGAGGGAGGACGGCTGCCCAGTGGGCAGCACTCTGCGGCCCTCAAACAAGCGAGTCAGAATTACCGGGAAGGCTCTTAGCCTCCCAGCTCGGGGCTCTATCTCCAGGTTGCAAACTGCTTAGATCCCTGGAGTGCACTGAGGTTGGAGAACCTTTGGGCTAGCACTTTCTGCCTCCTAGGGGTGGTCATTGCACACCCATCCAGACAGATACAGTTCCCGATTTCCTCTTAAATGAGCAGCCCCGCGTATGTTGCACGATTGGCACGATTAACTTCATCTTATCTTCGTTTCCTTCGTCACCCTGTCAGCCACCTGAAGCTTGTCTGCTTGTGTATCTGTTAGACTAGAGCCTCCCACTGGCGGAAACTCCAGGACACTGGGCACTGGGTCTGCTTTGCTTGTGGCGATATTTCCAGCGCCTAGAAAAAGCTGGCAAATGGCAGGCTGCAGTAAATGTCTGGCAACTGAATACGTGAGGAGAGGATGAGCCAGAGCATGATCTGCGGCTCCACCGCCCAGCTCCCCACACACCTCACACCTTGCTGTGCAGCTGCCATCCCCCATTCCCATCTCACCAGCTGCACTTCTGTTGAGCTGAAACTGGCAGGTGTTCTTTGGCAACCGCTCAATCTGGAGTGCAAAAGACCTGCGAATGTGGATTCAGTTCCCTCTTCTGCTTGTCTGAGGCCTCAGAGTGCCCCCAGAGCACCTGCCTCTGCCTCAAACCGCTCCCTGCCCTGGGGCGAGCCGTACACAGCACCCCCTCCCTCCTTCCATGGGAGTTTTGTCTCTTCCTGTGACACAAGTTCCATATTACTGACTGAACATCACACTGCAAACCTCAAACCTGACGTCCTGACATTCTGCACATACAGGCACCACAGTGCCCGTCCACTTGGTGGCCGTTCAACAAGGGACACTTGAAAAAAGACGTCTTCAGGAGACACCCCAGCGTGGAGGTCCTGGAGTGCAGCACACCCTAGGTGGAGCTAGCCTGCTGGGTACCAGGGCGCCTGGGGGGCCCTGTGTGCATGTGTTCACTGTGACTGAAAGTGGTTAAGAGACAGGTGAATGCACTCTGGGCTTATTGTTGTTCTCTCCCTGCTGGTTTTAGTAAGCTTTTTCTAAAAATTGATTTTTTTTTTTATTGAGGGGAGAGTTGAAAGTAGGGAGGCAGTCCAGTGAGAAATGATGAGAGCCAGCCAGAGGACAGTGGCATTCTTCAAGTGCCCTGTGATATGCCAGGCAAGGAGCAGAATTACTTCCACTCTGCTATGAGGCAGCTCCCCACTCTATCTTTCTGAGATGGGTGATTTATAGGTAGTTGACTTTTTCATCTTCAAAATGTGTATTTTGGTTCTTGATCATTTCTAGACACTACCTCATACTCAGAAATGCTCTCTCTTTTGTATTATATTTTCTTCTAGCACTTTTAAGATTTTCTTTTTCACATGTAAATATTTGACCCATCTGGAATGTATTTTGAAGTGGAAAATTAGGTCTGGATCCAGCTTTATATTTTTTCCAAATGCCTAGCCAATTGTCTCAGCACCACTTAATGAACAATCCATTTTTCCTCATGATTTGAAGTGACTCATTTATCATATGCACTTGGGTCTATTCCTGGACTCTAAGTTCTGCTCACTCATCTGTCTTCCTATTCCTGGGCGAGGACTGCTTTCAATTAATTTCTGTGGCTTTACCATGGATTTCGATGACTGGTAGGCTCATTCCCAAGTCTTTACTCTTCTTTAGATTTTCCAAGCTATCCTTATTTGTTATCCTTCTAGATAAATGTTAGTGTCATATTAATTTCAAAAATAAATTTTTTAAGCTCCTGAATGGACTTGCAAGATACCATACCAGGAAAAAAAAAAAAAAAGTCAAAAGAAGGTGACTCCACCCGAATAAAAAATATTGATGTTGGAAACTATTGAGTTGTCAGAAAAGTCATGATGCATTTTTACTTGTGAAACATAAAAAATATATTGTGACTTTTCCAACAACCCAGTATTACTGGAGAAGTCTCTTCGGTGTCATCATCTCATCTTCACAGTTTGATTCTTCCCTAGGAAATAGGAATATGATTGATGGAGGGAAGTTCTTACTGGGATTCAGCAAAAGTCTTTTCAGCTACAATTTCCACTCCCTACAATTTGCTGACCATTAGTAAAATAGGTCATCACACTTCATGAAAAGTGACTTGACATCTGGTGGACAATTAAGCACTGTACTTCTAGTAAAAAGCAAAGGGGTCTTTTTCTTGCAACTGACCTAAAAACCTTGTTCCTTATTTTAAGCAAGTTTTATCAGGAAGCAAAATGATCTTCAAAGTCTTGAACAGCAAAAAGAGAAGGACCCAGGGAATCCCGTGTGATGTGACTTGTAAGGAGACCACTGGCTCGTGGAATCAGCACCTTCCTACAGAACTCTCATATCAAGTCTGATTTACACTCACATTACTTTAATGCAGTAGACAGAAAGGCGCTGTAATATCAATTCCAGTTTCTCATAAAGAAACAGAATGAACACTGCTTAGTGATGTGCCCAAGGCACCTGAATAACCTGAGCCCAGAGTTTTGTGCCGGGTGGAAGTGAGTGACTCACACCTGCAGATACAGCCAGTGCACCCCAAAGCAGAAGTCAGCAGAGATGCAGCTTCACACAAAGGTGAGGTCTCAGGCTCCATACTATGGGGAGATTGCCGCCAGGGCTTTGCCCCTGGAGCTCAACACTGAGACCCAGAATGTGAGCTCGGATTGCATGTCAGGAACCACCAGGTGGGGTCAGCGAGGAACAGGGAGCCATGAGAAGCTGCTTCACCAGCTTCCTTTTCACTGGCATTGTCCAGTGGACCCTAGCATGCTACAAACACGACCAAGTAGCCATCCAGCTGTGTCATCCAGAGCCTTGTTCTCTCTTACAGAGGGATCCTTCAAAAGCCTCTGAGAGATACACAGAATGTTGCAGAACCTTACCTCAGAGAAATCCTAGCCCACCCCTGGATGGCACTGTTTCTCTGTCTGAAATGCTCCTGTCATTTGAAGGAAATGCAAAGGGAACATGTCTGGTTAACATCAGGTCTGTCTAGCAAATGTATTATTCACCAGCTCTTCTGTGCCATCCCTGGGGCTCTGGGCTTTGAAACAGTATCTTTATCACTCCTGGAGGGATTAAGCTTTCTATGTGTTCCTTCACAGTTACAAGATCATTTCTGCCATTGGCGACTGATTTTAAGATTGCAGAGTGCAAAGGGTTGGCCAAGAAAAGGCATTGTACCTGCTGTATACAGACCAAAAGCAGTCCCAGGGTAGTCTCTGTGCTTTCCAGTTCAGTCTGCAAGCGAACAGCCAGATAGCTGCTTTCCCAGGGGAAAAAACCTTTCACTGCAAAGCAAGAGGACACTAACACAGCTGCATTAAGTAGAGCTGCAGCTCAGCCTCTGTCTCTAAAACCTTGAACTCAGAGATGTTACTGTTGCATCATTTAAGACACTGGCAAAGCAGGTATCTTTTAGGGATTTTCAATGCACACCTCATATCCAGAACTCAGGGTTACACTATCTATGAGAGGTGCTTCTCTACAAGCTTGACTGAACTGCCAAATTAAGTCCCAGGAATGGAGCCTCGTCTGATTCTGTGAGCTGGGTATGGAATCAGATATTTACTAATAGTGACCTGATTGCTATTTCATTTGGAGGCGTCTGTGTTTCCTTCCATAAGCAAATATGCTATTGGGCTTCCATCCTAAATTATTCCAGTATTGGGAACTTGGTTACTTGTTGTGGTTTCTGTTTCCCATGTCATGTTATAAAATGCAAGTCAAGAACACAAGGAAATGTTGAGGACTCTTTTTCTATTTTTCAGACCTCTCACACAAAGCTTTCTGCGGATGATGAGTGGAAGTAAGTGATTTGTATTTTTTATAGCTGAAATACTAAGCATTAGATTACTAACTCAATAGTTTGAGAAATTAAATAAAGTCATATGTAAATACACGCACACTCAGACACCAGAGGCCAAGACCACAGAGATTCCATCTTTTCTCCATAGTGAGCTCCATGAAGTCCCACCAAGCTGCACTTAACACGTCCCTCAAAGCAAGGCGGTGTCAAATTAGTATTTATTTTATGCACACAACACATCTTGTTTGCATGACACACTGTTTCACCTGTGTGCTGGTATCTATTGGGGTCCACTGAGCCCTTACAATGAAAAGAAATAAAAAATGGAAGGTTCCTCATTTCTTGCATAATAGAAATCCATTATTATTGTATTCCTAATGAAAATCAGAAATCCTTAGTTCATTTGTATACATTATATTTTCCAAAATACTTCCACACAGATTTACTCATTTGATATCTTTTCACTATATGTACAAAAATAGATTGATGTCATCAGTATATTTTGTTTTATATCTATACAAGTCCTACTTTAGGTGGATACAGTCTTGCCTCTATATACCTGGTCCAAGTTGAAAATCTGCTCGTTAAATAGACTACTGAATAGTTATTTTTGGATCTAAGGTTGTTAAGACCATAACTCAGCTGTTGTACACTTTTCACTTTTCTTATTAACATACTATTTCTTCAGAGGAATGATTTTTTTTTTTATGAACTGCTAGGCAGTTTCCAACACCAAAATGAATAGTCATGTAAATTTATCCAAGTTTCTTACCTGAAGTGTTGCATCAGCTTCTTCATTTGACAAATGAAGGGGTTCTAGTGCCTTTATGGTGCCTTCATGGCACCTTGCTTCACTAACATTCTGAGATTCCCGCTGGAGGATGGAGTGGGAGGCCTCAGGCCGAATTGGGTTAGGCTCTCTGGGCTGATTCTCCAGCGGGGCATCCCTAGGACCTGAACAGGGCTCTTTTCTGAAGTACTGGTGGTACTCTCGACTCTTAAGCCAGAGTCTTGCTGGCAAAGGGGGAGAACTCAACCCCCATGTCCAGCAGACACTTTGAGGGATCACAATCTTGGGGCTCAGAATTTTCTGTGTTTTCTGAACGGTGCACTAACTAAGTAAAAATTCATAAGTGGAAACGTTAAGAAATTTTATGACCGACAGTATCCCACTGGGGGTAAAAGTTAACATTAATCAACCTCTATAAAGCAAATAATAACATTCATAAGATGTTGACCCTGGACTGCTCTCTCTTCCTCTAGTCCATTGGTTCTCAAGCTTGTCTCCATCTAAAAATCATATTGGGGAACTTTAAAATTCACAGCGCCTTGAAACGCTCAACAGAACACCACAAACTGAGAGACTTCAACAATAGAAATTAATGTTTTTTGTAGTTCTGGAGTCTAACGTCCAAGATGAAGGCGTCACAGGTTTGGGTCCTCCTCAGACCTCTGTCCTCAGCCCACCTAGCCGCCTCCTTGCGGTTTCCACACGGCCTCCCGCGTATGGCTGTATCCTAATCTCATCTGACCTCATTTACCTTAGTCTCGCCTTCAAAGTTCCTATTTCCAAGTACAGTTACGTACTGAGGTGCTGGGGGTTAAGACCTCAACTTGCAACTTCTGGGGAGACCCAATCCAGACCACACCAGCCAGAAATACTGACCTCATTGACCTGAGCATACAGCTTCAGCACTGGGACTTTAAAACCACCCCAGTTATTTCCCATTTACAGCCAAGGTAAAGAACCGCCGGTTTCCTTGAAGCTGTTTCTGCTGCAGGACACGAAACCGTGATGTACTATTTCTGCAGTTTTCTCTAAGACTCCAACTCAAAACTGAAACGTTCCCCATTTTCTGAATGTCTGTGCCTTTGCTTTGGCTCCCTGGAGTGTAAACAGAGACTCCGCTCACCAGGGGTTGCCTGGGCCCCACACCCTGCTGGCTCACAGGGCAGGATGCCCTTTACCTGAGAATGTTAGAAGGGACCATATTTTACCCTCACTTTCAAAAATGCCAATTTTATCAGTCAACCCAAGCATAAGTACCTTCCCTGATGGAAATACAAACAAAATAACATATGTACTTTGCCAGCCTATGAAGCACAGGTGGGAGGATCATTATTTTAAACTCACAAAAGAGGAAACTGAGACTAAGCTGATAGTGGACATTTGGAAGATTCTATGGTGATAAAGTGGCAGATCAGGGACTCGAACCCAGGACTTTGCAGGGGCCATCAGCAGCAATTTTTGGCCCCATCATGTAACTTGAGAAGACAAGGTTTATGCCAGAGCCACAGGAGAAAACAATGGACTGAGCAGGTCAGGTTTTGCTAATTGATCAGGTTCCTGCTCTCCGCTACCCCTTCCTCAGAGCCTGGGTGGGCGGAGGAAGCTAGACAAACTCAGGGAAATGTTGGGATCAATGACTGGGATCAACCCAATCAGTCTTGGGTTCGAGTCTCTGATCTGCCACGTCATCGCCATAGAACCTTCCAAAAGTCCATTATCCACTTAGTCTCAGTTTTCTCTTTTGTGAGTTTAAAATAACGATCCTCCCACACGCACTTCATAGGATTGTTCTAACATGGCAAAGTATATATGTTATTTTATTTGTTCTTCCACGAAACTAGACAAACTCAAGGACATGTTGGGATCAACGCTCTAAAGCCCCTACCTTGGAGGTCTCCAGTGGCTCCCCAGGAGTCCAACCTATTTGTTTTGGCGACCTGCACAAGGTTGAGGGTCTTTTCCATGACCTTTCTTGCTGTTTCCAGTCTGCAGCAGGAGCAGACGTACAGGATGCACCCAGGCCACGAGTCCATGCACGTGGAGATGATCTTGATCTTCCTGTGCGCCCTGGTCATCGCCCAGATAGTGCTGGTGCAGTGGAGACAGAGGCATGGCCGCTCCTATAACGTGAGTGCCTGAGGGGCTGGGGGTGGGGGGGGTGCTGGAGGCAATTCCCTCCTGCTGCCATGGGAAGCTCCCCTTGGTGAAGGCAGTAACTGCCTGGACTGCGCCGGTCAGCATTATCTATATTTCACTTGGATGATTTATTTATTTATTTTATATATATATTTTTTATTACAAAAGTTTATTTTTACATCATTTTGTACATTTTTTTTCCATCTCAATTGTAATCCCCGCGGGTTTCCCATCACCAAGTCACCCCTGTGCCATCACCATAATCCCATGCATTCCTCCCCCCCCATTTTTGATCCCATTCCCCACTCCACCCCCGCAAAATGTCTCTGGTATATGGTTGTTCATTATTCTCACCTGGTCCATTATACTCCTGCTATGAGTGAAACCTGGATGATTTATTTTTAACTAAAGGAGACGAGAATCAAACCTGATCAGTTATCATGTCAAAGAAAGCTACCCTGTCTGCCAATATGCATATGGAAAGTTATCACCACATGTCATCAGGGGGTTGCAAACTAAAGCCAGGAGATACTGATACTGATACATACCTACTAGGTGGAGAAAATCCAAAAAACGCGACAGTGCCAAATGAGATGAGGATGAGAAGCAAGAGGGACTCTTGATGGGAATGAAATGGGAAAGCAGTCGGAAAGGCAGTTTTGCAGCCTGCCGCAAAGTTAAACTACCTAGCAACCACACGGCTAGGTGTTTTTGTTTATCCAGTAGAACTGATCCCACCTTCCCACAAAACCTACATGTTGATACTTATAGAGCCTTTATGCATAATCACCCGAAACTAAAAGCAAACAAGATGTCCTTTAAAATATGAATAAATAAGCCAACTTGGTGCCTCTATACAGTCACATCTTAGTTGGCAATAACAGGATATGAGCCATCACGCCATGAAAAGACCTGGAGGAACCCTGGGGACAAGCCAGGATGAAAAGAAAGCAGAGTGTGTGATACCAATTACATGACGATTGAACAATGCAAAACCATAGAAAGTAAAATGATCGGTGGTTCAGGGAGGGAAGAAAGGAGGACAGACGTGGTAAAGGGAGATTTTCTAGCGGTAAAACTGATTTCTATATACTGTGATTGTGGCTACATTTATGCATCTGTCAATCCCATTCAACTAAACAGAGCAAATAGTGGAACTTAATGTATCTAAATGCTGAAAAGATCAAGAAGCTGGGGGGAGAGGATCCCAGGAAGAGTAGCAAATGGTACAAGAGAATCTCAATGCATTACAAATAAATGAAACAACCTCAGTGAAGGGAACTCGGGAAGGAAGGAAGTTGCTCTGGGCCCCTGTGGCAGTGAGAGAAGTCTGTAAGATTAAGACATAGAAGGACCATACACTGGCTGATGAAAGTGTCCCTCATGGGGAATGCATTAAGTCCGACACCACTGTACACGCACTGGGAAGGGACCAACAAGTGAATAGAGGGCAGGTTACGAGAGCCAGGCTGGTTACTGCTGAAATAGGAGTTTACAGGTAAGAGCAGGAAGGAAGTTAGGGAAGAAATGATACGCACACACACTACGTTATGAGGACAGCTTTGTACACAGAAGGTATTTATACATATTATTTATAGCCTGGAAATATCATTTATTATAGTTATTATTTTTAGATTATTTCATGCATAATTCAGACCATGCGAGGGGTTAATCTAAAAAGCGCAGAACATTTTCAGGTACAGTGTTTAACAAAAAATGATTACTTGTCTAGAGTACAGATTTGTGGTCTGTAGGTGCTGTGTACATCAGCACAACTTATTAAAAACACCTAAGCAAGAAAATAGGTTATTTGGAAAATAAAATTTTAAAATATAATTGCTGCTAGGAGATGTTAAAATATGTAAATAAAACACAGTGGAAAGTGAGATGTCTATATCAATATATTTCTTGTTTGGGATACTATTATATACCTAGATGTTTCCAAGTAGTCCCATTTTGAATACAACATAAGCTATGCAGCTGAATATTTACATTTTTCTCTTTTCAGTGAATATGATATAACAGAGCCTCCAAGTTACATGTTTTACAAATGCTTTTGACAATATTTAATTAAAAATAAAATCCGGACCCTCCCTGGTGATGCAACAGGTTAAAGCACAGCACTATGAAGCTGTCCACAGCCACTGCAGCACGAGTTTCTATCTCCAGTAAGGGAGCTGACCCCCATGGCACAGCAGACCTCGCTTGACCCACCTGCTGCTCCCCTCAACAGTGTATGTCAGTATATCGGCCTATCCTGCCCCCCACTCTTCCTCTGGTGAATCCTCTTTCTCCCCACACCTCTGGCCTGTACCGCAGTGCTGTATGCATCAATAAGTAAATCTTTAAAATGATAAAAATAAAAATAAAATCCTAGTCAACACCACCCTCTCCACCTTCTTTTACACATCCGACTTTCTACAGGAAACCGGAAGGAGGGTGCCAAAAGAGATTCCTACTTCCCCTCGGGCCAGCAGAAGACCCGCTGGCCACATGCAGATGTCAGGATTGCAGGCACACTGTTAACTTGCCTCCATACACAAGCCAGTAATTTCCCACAGACTGACACATAGCTCCATTTATATCAAACTTCCTGCCTGTGAATTGCTGTGAAACATGAGAACATGTCCCTGTGCCAATAAAGCACGGGTCTGCCCGCCTCTCAAAGGTGAGAGGAGGCACACATGCGGTCTCACACACAGCACTGCAGAATCTCCCTTCACAGCTGAAATAAGCGAATTAGCGGTCAGAATTGATTTGAAGAAAAAAATGTGGGCTCAGTGAATCTCGAAGCGTCCTTCATATGCCGAGATTTCGTACTTCGCCCTGTCTGACTCATGTCCACACCTGCCTTCATTTGTCCTGAGGGCCGAGGGACAGCTTGGGTAATTTATTTGCATGGTAAATCTCTGCTGACCTCTGAGCAGCTTCCTGAACTCCCTCCAGACCCATCGCTCACCACACGCACGCACGCATGTGCACGCACGCACGCATGTGCACGCATGCACGCACGCATGTGCACACACGCACGCACGCACGCACACAGGCACAAATGGTTGCACAGACTTTGGGAAAATATTAGGAAAAGAGCATCACTGACCTTCCCTTCCCACTCTGCCTTGCTCTTTCTCTTTCCTTTTACTTTATCTTTTTTACTTTCTATCTGCCTTTTCAATTTTCTCTTTTTGGTTACTGTCCTTGTCCCATAGGGTGAGTTCTGTGCAAAAGACTTAGAATGAATGTAAGAAGATTCCAGATCCAAGAACTTACGAGGATAAAGCAATTAATAAGAAACATCTTCTTGCTGCTCCCTGGAAAGAGACAGAGCTGTGCGCCTGGTCTTTTACTTCCAGGATGAAATACTATCAAATAATTTGTGCTTATTGTCCTTAGATGATTATATCCAAAACCATGTTAAAGGATCCAAAAATGGAACTGAAGACCCTTTTGCTAAGCCGCCTCTTTTTGTTAGAAAGACGAATTATCCAGATGACAACTGTCTGACAGCAAGCACCAACCCCTCTCCACATCCCGGGCAGACAATTAGCCAGCTGTGACCCTTGTTACCACCAAGGGGACCCAGCTCCCAATCTTCGCCCAGCCTTGCTCAGTGCCACCGCCTGTGCACCCAGGCCTGAGACCCAGCCCTTTGCCCTCCCTCTTTCAATGGTGCTGAAGAAATGCAGGTGGTTAGTCTGGAAGTGAGAAAAGAAGAGGTCAAAGTTTACTGCTACTGGTTAAACCTACCTGCTTTTCAGCAGAAAGGCATGTAGCAGGTGTGCGGTCTGCTGAAGAGCAGACACACAATGTCCCCCACATGGCCCAGCAGCTCAGTCTCCCCCGCTTCTTACACTGAGGGGCCAGACCACTCACCACCATCAGCAGGTTAGTGAGATCATTGGTCCTGCAAGAGGTTTCGTGCAGAGGCACAGAACGCATGCGAGCCACATCTCTGGCACCTGGGAAGGGCAGCAATCACCAAAGAGGAAGGTCTGGGACAAAACCAAGGGCTGAAATCCAGTCATCAGGGGCCAGGTAGTACCTGCTTGGACAGTACCGCCAGCCCTGGCTCCCGGGTGCCATTCTGTTTCCAGGCTCTTTCGCGGCTGGAAACAGTCAGCCCATGTGGGCCGTGTTGGCCTCAATTTTACAACTAAAGTGAAACGTGTTTTTCGCAAATCGCATCACGACAGAAGCCTGAAGTTGCTATCACTGGAAATTGACCAGAGGAAAGGTGAGGGATAGGCTGTATTATTTCCCATTTGAGTTTCAGGTAATGGTCCCCATCAGCTCCTACCTTTGCAGGTGCAGAACAGCTCGCGTGTGCAGGGTGGACTAGCTGCATGCTACAACAGCCATGAAGCAGTCTCCCCAGAGCAGCTCCTAAATGCCGTCCAGGGGACCGGACAGTGGGCTCCTCATTGCTGAACGAGATTCTCCCTCATTGCCCTCACAGCTGGTGACCCTGCTGCAGATGTGGGTTGTCCCCTTGTATTTCACCATAAAACTTTACTGGTGGCGCTTCCTGTCCATGTGGGGCATGTTCTCCGTTATCACCAGTTACATCCTCTTCAGAGCAACCCGCAAACCGCTCTCCGGGAGGACACCACGGTAAGGGATCCTGTCTTGCCCGCGGCCCTGCCTGTGACTTTAAAATGCGTATCTGATGGCCAAGATCCTGGGTGTCCCCTGCTTTAGCCTGTGGTAGCAAACTCTTTGGAGATTAGCGGTGGCATTAGCTCACATTCATTTCTTAAGGGTAAGTCAGACATGCTTGTAAAATTTATCACTTCAGATGTCAGCTAGTGAAGGCCAAAAGGAAGAAAAGTGAACATATTGTTAAAAGTTCTAGAGCACTACTTCATATTTCTTTTTCTTTTTTTTAAAGATTTATTTACTTATGCATAGAAGAGCTGAGGTGCATGCAGGGTTGGGGGTGAGAGGGTTTACCGGGTGGGAAGCAGAACAGGTGGATTGACTGAAATACACTGCCGAGGGAGGACAGGTCTGCAGCAACATGTGGGTCACCTCCTGGTTGCTCCGCATCTCCACTGTATAATGAATTTCTCAATCAACGCAGAGGAACTTCATCACAAGAAATAGCCAAACGCTGCCCCATTCTACACGTCAGCTATCTCAGCAGGTGCCCTGCCCTCTGCTTCTCTGCCCACCTGGGTCCATGGCAGCCTCCCCTTCCTGCACAGCAGTGCCAGTCGGGGTGATCCACGACATGCTAGAGCAGACCCAGTTCTGCAGGGAGGTTTGTGAACGCACTGGAAGTGTTCTGGGAACGACCTCTCCCTGCTCTAGCAGATGGGAGAGCAAGGCCGTCACCTGAGCCTCGAAGTCTGTGCAACACCTCTGCCAACTCCCCTGTCTACCGACGAGAGAAGGTTTAAGCCAGGGACCCGAGCGTTGCCTCTGCACACCGCGTTCCTTAGAGAGGAAGAGACTAACCCCCAGCGTTGCCTTCTTCTGCACATGGATCTCATCAGCGTATCTTTAGCTTAAAGTGACATAGAACTAGAAGCCCTGTGTCAAAAATAATTACATTCCAAATGTCAGTGATTCACTGTCTGTAGAAACAAGCCCCAACATGCGATAGTTGGAACGGTGCTCCAGAGTCCAATCTGTCAGGTCTCATCCCAGGTTCCAATCCTCATTTTGGTTATCTAATAACCTTTCTGTTTCACTATCACTGGGTATCTATCGTGAGTACAAATGATTGAGGGTCCCCTCTCTTCTAGAGGAGTAGACAAGAAACAAGGAGTTTCTGTTTAAAGAAACAGTAGCGTCTAAGGATCTCTCTGGCAAAAGGGCTCCTGCCACTGTTGACATCTGTCAGCACATTCCAGCACCCTTTCTCATCTTTGGGCACCAAGTTTAGTCTTCCAGCTGCTCCTTCTCCATCTATCACCTTTTCTTGGTCCAGAAGGTGAGTCTTTATACTGGGGGGTGGCACAAAAGGAACTGGCCCCCAGTCTCTCCCCACATCTCCCCAGAAGCGAGGAGGAAAACTAACAAAATTAAAGGCTCCCTTCTATACTGCCTCCATGCTCACTCTCCACCCTTATCCTCTGCCTGCTTCATGCAGGCCCTGTGCAGTGGGGAAAGGCGCGAGGCCTGCTCTTGAGTTGCACAGAGGGGCACCCACACAGCAGAAAGTCAGGCGGCAGAAGCTCGCCTGCAACTTCCTCTCCGGCCTGGGGGAGGCGCTCTGAGTGGAAGGAGAGGGGCTGGGGGCTCAGCCCCCTGCCCACCACCCAGGCGCTGGGCTTGAGGGCCGAGGCCAGCAGCAGCCAGAAAGAGAAAGGCCAGGGCAGGAATCTCCCCTTGACTTCTCAGCCTGTCACTGATGGGCTCCAAACTACTCCTGCCCACACCTCTGGAAGCAAAGGAGAGGAGGGTGGTCAGGGGCCCAGTCGGACTAACCACTCCCAAAGACCATCTTTTATGAGGAAAAGTTCAAGGTAATTACATGATCGTTACTGTCCTGTAATAAATGACAACGGCACCTCCCTAGAGCCGCAGGGGTTGAAGTGTTAGTGCTATGAAGCTATCACCAGCCACAGAGGCCTGAGTTCCATCCCTGGCCAGGGAGCTGACCCCCATGGTGCAGCAGGACCCTCCTGTTTCCCCGCTGATCCCCTCAGCAGTGTATTTCAGTAAAATCCACCTGTTCTGCTCCCCACTCTGTTTCTGGTGAATCCTCTTACGGCCCCCAGCGCCTCTGGCCTACATCCCAACTATTGTATATCTAAGTAAATAAAAATAGGTCTTTAAAAAAATAAATTACAATGAATTTATATATGCCTAGACAGAAACATTGGTGCATGATCATACTACTTGTAGTGTTTGCTGATATTAGCATTCTCTTAATTTAATTTAGTAGGTATGCTATACTTATGTTTTGCATATTACATGATATATGGAATTATAGAAACTAAGACTAGCCTAGACTGTTATTTGAAAGAGATAAAGCACTTCCCATCATGCTCTGTGGCTCTGGCTTCTTCCCATATTTCACTCCACAGGCTGGTCTACAAGTGGTTTCTTCTCATCTACAAACTCAGCTATGCATTTGGCGTTGTGGGATATCTGGCCATCATGTTTACCATGTGTGGATTCAATTTTTTTTTCAAGTAAGTTTCACTGGTTAAGAAATTCATCTCCATGCACTTGCTTGTAACATCACAGGGCCAGCTTCATACCTGGGTGCTGGATTTGGGTCTGGACTTCTTCATGCACACATGGTCTGTTGCAGTTCTCATTGGTGTTTTGCTGTCTTTGAGTAAACCACTCAAAAAGAGACGATCCACAGGATAAGAAGTTTGCAAAAACTGTAAACTTTAAAGAGAAAAAAATACTTGATCTGCACATCTTAAAAGCCATCATTAATTTCAAAGCCATCCCTTTGTGTTTGAGTGACCCTTAATGACAAAAGATTTCCCTTCCACCAAATTCTGAAGGTCATTTCCTTGTATGTAACTTCTTTCTTAAAACCTCAAGAACCAGACAACCCAGTCGCCATTAGCTCATATGACTTTTGAATGTTTAAAATAGGAGCTAGACGTGCTGTAAATATACACACTGGTTTCAAAGACTGTATAAAATGAATTGTCCTGTGGCCTATATGTTGGGTTTATAACACTTTGGATGTATCAGTGAAATTACTCCAGCTGTTTCTTTTTACCTTCTTAACGTAGATACCAGACAATTTATATTTTCAATATATGTCAGGATTCTATTTCCACCAGACAATACTGTTCTAAAATTGTGTATCTGGGACCCCTAGCATGCAGCTGAACAAGGAGGAAACTGAGTGTGTAGACAATGAAGGAGAGGTGAAGAGATAACGGAGCAGGAAAGTCTGAGAAGAAATAATGGAAATTAGGATAATTATTCCTATGACTCAGAACTGTGTGCTCCCTAGGAAGAAGGAAATGTACTCTTGATACTATTCTCATAGTATCAACATGCAATCAACATGTGTTCTGGAAAAGGGAATGTAAGCCAACAGCTTTAGAAAGATGCACGAATAAAGATTCCCCAGAATATCGCTCAACTTGAAGTTATTCTAAATCTCTGGGGCCATAACAAGACTGAAAGGCAGAGGTGAGCAGTCCTTAACCTCATAAAATAAAGGTGAATGGATACCAGCCCCGGGAAGGAGCTCTTTCTGCCACCACGTAGCGCTCTGATTTTAGAAGCATTTCACAAAACTTCAGAGTGTGAGTTCCAACCATTTTCTATGGAAAGGAAGAGAAGCTAATTGTACAGATCCCTGATGGCTAGTTTAGGATGTAGAAAGTCACTGATATTCTTTCAACATGCTGTTAGTATTATTGTAATGAATGTAAAATTTTTGTACAAATTTTATCAAGTTAATGACAGCTGTCCAAAGACTATTAGCTCATGAAATCTTAAGACCCTTACCCATGAACTCTCCTACCATGAGCTATATTGAGACTTCAACCCTTAAAGTGGGGCAGGAATTATTTTTTCATTATAAAGTTCCTTTTTGGTGGAACCATGACAAGATTGCAAATACGTGTGTCCCTGCTCACGAATCTTCCCCACCCGCCCCACCCCTCGACGCCCTCACTCTGAAATAAACTCAGGCAAATCTTGAAAGGATGAAGCCATCCCTTGTTGAAATTTCCAGTTCACATCACCCAAAGATGCCTCCCAAGTCTGCAAAGCAGTCTACCTTTACCATTTGCTCCTCGAATTAACGAGGCACAAATACACAGCAGAAGGGTTGAGCTACAGCGCCCAGTTCCTGTCCACTACTAGGTACCCTCCCAACTCAGACTCATGCAGGACCCTGGCTAGTATTTGAGATCAACTACGGAGCTAGAAGACCAAAGGTGCAAGGCGTAAGATCCAGAAATTAAATTAGGGACTAATATTCACTTTTTGGAGATCTTTGCCTTAAAAAAAATAAAGATGGGTTATCATAGAGAATCCGTGTATTTGAATATGATCCAACTAGCAAAACAAATTTTTAATAATCTGACAAGTACAGCAAGGACCTTCAAGTGAAGCTTGGTTCCTGATTCTTAGGTAGCAGCTGCCATTTTTCATTTTTCCTGTGTTTCCATATTTTCAAACACACAGTGGGGATAATAATATCTATTTCAACTACTTGTTGGGTGAAATAAAGTACTTGAAAACTCTCTGTGAAACCTGAGCCGGACACCAGTATCTCAGCTTTAGCTGTCTGACAGAGCCATCTCTTGTCCAGACCCCAGGCCAGGCCACACGGAGTCCTGAAGGTAGGCTTGTGTATCAGAGAATGTCCCATTTCTCCAGGTGAGTCTTCTTTGGGTCGGGGCCCATTGCTCTGTTGCAAGAGGGTCTAACTCTTTGCTGCCCATTAGAATCACCTGGAATCTGGAGGGCTTCCAAAAATATCGCCTCACAGCCCAACCCCAAGAGTCTGAGGTAACTGGCCTCGGGCGCAGCCCAGAGATGGAGATTTGTACAGTGCCTGCCCCAGTCCTTCTATGTGAGCTGACTTGTGAACCACTGGTTCCAGCAGGCTGATTGATCTCAGCACAGAGGCCTAAAATACATTTGAAGTCTCTCTCAAAATTACTATGCCCATGTAGCGCCAAGTGCTAAATTTTAAGAGAAATTTAGAATTTTAAATTATTTCATTTTAAAAAAGGAAAACTAAGCAAATAAAAGAAAAATAAAATACACCACTCACTCCATTGCCTATATGGCAGGAATTATTTTCCAAGCTGTACCCCCTCTCAACTCCCCCAGTGCCAGATTCTGACCTCTTTATATTGTTAATTTCCATAGAATCAAGGCCAGAGATTCCATGGATTTTGGCATCGTGTCCTTGTTCTACGGCCTCTACTATGGTGTAATGGGAAGAGACTTTGCAGAGATCTGCTCGGATTACATGGCTTCTACTATAGGGGTAAGTGGTGCTTCGTTCTCTGAAACCACACATGGCGTGTGGAGAAACGGTCTCATCTTTCACACTTACATTCCACCTGCAGAAATGGAGTGCTATTTGGTGCTCCCAGTCCGCTTGCTGTCTGGATTCTCCTTGCATCAAAAATTGTCTCTGCTAATTCATTAGAAAATACATTTCTTGGGGCCTCCCTTGTGATGGAAGGGGTTAAGCACAGCACTATGAAGCTTTCGGCAGCTACTGCAGCCAGCCCTGTTCTAGATCCAGCCAGGGAGCTGACCCACATGGCTCAGCAGACTTCTCCTGTCTCGCTCACTGCTCCCCTCAGCAGCATATATGGGTTGATCCTCCTATTCTGCTCCCCACTCTGTCTCTGGTAAATCCTCTCATACCCCCACCCCTCTGGCCTACACCCCAGCTTTTGTATGTATAAATAAATAAATCTTTTTAAAAACAGTTTTAAAAAGAAAATAATTCCTTACTTATATGAAGTGATTGGGTGCTAAGATATATCTTAAAGCAGAATATCTTAATTATTTGGAAGGACCATGCTCCAATCGCCAACACCGAAAGGATCAGTGAAAATTCAACAATAACAAAAACCCTTTACCTCTGCCTGCAACTCTGCCTAATGCAAATAAAAGTCCTATTTGAGGGCCCTCCCTGGTGGCGCAACAGGTTAGGACACAGCACTGGAGGCTAGCTGCAGCCGCTTCAGTGAGTCCGATCCCCCACCCCGGAGGTGACCCACATGGTGC